TTTTAAAGTCTCTTTCAAATTTCAGGTCATTTCAGTTTTAACAAAGTTTCTAAGCAATTCTTTCTTCGCAAAAATCGCATTATTTTTTAGTTTTACTTAAAACACTGAAAATCTAGGTATTTTATGTGAAAAATTATAAGATAAACTTTAATCGAACACTCGCCTCCTTAACCGCTTTGCCAGACTTTTTGGAAAACTTTTTGCAGCTTCGAATTATCGACAAAACCCTGATAATTAATTCTGGGTGTTTTTCCAAAAATCTTTTCTCGAATTGAAGAAGCGAAAGTTGATAATTATTTGTTTGGAAAACTCTTGGAAACTGAGGTTTCTTCACTTTTATGACAATATTTCTAAACAACAAAAAGGAAAACAACGTTTCGGCCAAAGTTTTACTGTAAAATACTGGAAAACTGAATCTTTTATACAAAAAATGAAGCGATCGATTTTACAAGAAAACTCGTCGACTTTCCTTGGACTCAGTTCTGTTGAGAAAATCTAGATGACTTTTGTTTAGTTGTTTGGATAAAGTAGTGAAACGTTACTCAGAAAAAATGTTGTTGACCTTTTCTTTTAGCTGTGAAAATTCCAGTCTCGGGTCTCGTAAAGTTTTAATAAATAACTTATAATTCATTAACCGATGAGTTATAACCCGTTAACTCAGAGAGCGGCAACAGCTCAATAACGCAACTCAACGCAATGTTACCCAGGCCTACAATGCTCTCAGGAATATGGGCTAACAATAAAAGTAAAAAAAAACAAATCAGAACAATAGGGAGAACCTAACAATTAACAACAAGACTTTTAGACAGGTGATTAACTACAGATATCTGTTACAACAGCTCTCCCAACGATTACTCTACAACAACATATTTTAATAATCTGGGAAGAGTGCTCGATAGACGGGATTTGAAGCTGGATCTGAGAATCAGAATAGGTGCCATGTCTTTTCGACCTTGCTTTATGGAATGGAGGCCGGCACCCTAAACGCAGCAACTGTAATTGAAGTCTTTTGAGATGTGGTGAATAGAAGAAAATTAAAAACATCTTTTACCAGACACGTGACAAACTACAAAGTCATGAGATAGCGGATGAGCTCTGCATGCTGAGATTATGAAGAATCCCATGCGCGAACTTGGTATTTCTGGAGAGTAACGCTGCTGTATAATCTTTATGCTATGGTACTGTTATGTTAAGACGGTAGACGTGACATCCGGGGGAGTCGGTTTTTCGGCATTAAATGTAATGCGTACATTAGGATGTAGAAGCTAGGCGTAGGATTAATTCCATCTTGACTAAATAGTCAGTAAAGTAGATTAACTCAAATCCCGACTCTACAAGAAACTAATAAACGGTACTTACGTTGTCATGGGAATGCACGAAACCATCAGGATTCACGACGGGAAATATATACCACACGTAGGCTTCCGCAATTCGACGCACTGCAGGATCTTGACTCACAACGAGCTCGTTGAGTATATAAGTAGCCACAGCAGATGTAATCCTATAATAGACAGTAAAATAGTGCAATCTGTAAATATTATATAAAACTTGGTTCTCTAGTCAGCTAACGTAACAGCAGTGCATGTTGTTAGATAGTTATTGACCTTTTTCTAGCACTAAGCGCACTTCTCATTTAACTCGTAAGACCTTGGTAAACGTTAATGGCACATTCCGCTAAACTGTTCCTCGTTTCCACATTACAATGAAGGTGACAGGAGTAAATGTGGTTCTACAATCGTTTTGCCGATTGCTTAAGCAATATAACTAGAATCTAATTCTAGTTATATTGCTTAAGCAATCCATAGTTAATTAATTGTTTAAACCATCCACTTGCAAAAATACCAATTGCACCATTTTCGATCTGATAAAAGTTGAACGCTTGCAAACTCACATTGAACGAGAATAAAAATTGAAACTTTTAAGCGACGAATTAAATTTATAAAATATTTTACAAACAACGAGTTTTTGTAAAAAGGCGAAAGTTTGCTTCATTTCTAAGTCTGAAAATGTTCGAAATTAGCCAGTACTACCAAGATAGTAAAATAGCGATTGAAAGTTGTCTGGATAGACCAAAATTCCACAATACAACTATCAAAAGAGATAGACTTTCAATGCCATCCTTTGAAACTAATGGGATTTTCGGGTTTTTGAGGTTTTCAGTCGTTTGGTAGAATTTCTTCTTGACGTTTCGCAAGCACAAGTGGCTTGCTTGAACGCTTACACTGTTCTGATGGTGACCACCTATTTTTTCAAATTAAGAGCTCAAATTTTGCACAAGGGTAGCTATTTATATATATCACATATAGAAATGTTTTGCGGACTTTGAAGCCGTGGTCCATGGCAATTTCTTCCTGACGTTTCGTCCACAACTGCGGTGGACGTTATCAAAAGCGATAAGGCAGTGGGCGAAGTGATCTCCCGTGCTTTCCGACTAAGACTGGTTCAACTACCGTGACGTGATGTTTAACGCAGACATAGCCATTTAAGGCTTTTTGTCTTTGCTGGTAGCCTGCAAGAGCCTTGGTGGGTTTGGGGTGTGGGTTTT